TTCCAAGTCGGGTATGGGATTAGTTTTACTGTATTGTTTGTTTTCGGAAGCATGGACTTGGTGGTGGAGGAAGCCGTAACCGACCAGCGGTTACGTGAACCACCCAACGACGGCGAGGAGTCCAGCGATCCTCTCGCACATAACCATCCCTGCATGGGATTCGAACCTGCGAACCCACGCAGAGTAATTAGAGGTGCGGTGGCGAGCGTATTCCTAACGCTTAGCCCGTTGAGCCACACCGCCGCGCCATTTATGAATTTTTTTTGGTGTTTTTTGCATGTTTTAGATTGATAAATGACAAATAATCATTAATGTGCTTGCACAATAAAAGTGTTTGTTTTGTATTGTACTGTTTGCGTATTCTTGGCACTATTGTGGCCCGCGAGAACCGCAAAAATTATTCTGCATTCACGGTGAAATGCTACTTAAAATATTTAATGACTGACGCTTTTTAATAGTACTACTGTTAAAAATCACCAGCCGTTTAACATTTAAATACCATTTCACCGTAACATCAATATTGTTAATGTTCGATTTTATTGAAGATTCTAGTTAATCAAAGGATGCACTTGCTTGGGACAACAAAGCAAAGGTGGTACCACAGAAATTTTCAGAGACGAGTTTTCGATGGCGCCTTAGTGTTTTAATGAAATGGTTGGTCAAATTGGTCAGACTATTCAGATCTCAATATTCGCCCGGTTGAAATAAATTTTACTTGATTCTCTCTCTCAAGTATCATCCTTAATGTTTATAAACATGACAACTATTTTTAAAAAGTATGTAAATTAAGCATCATTTTGCCCTCAATCAGTAAGGGGTACTGAAACTTATTTTCAATTTCAGATAACACGGAACACTAGTTGCATTCCTATTATTATATTTTATATATAGGCAGGCTTACCATACGTCCCGGTTTAGCCGGGACATCCCGATTTAGACAAGCATTCACCCAGGTATACGTAAATGTATCGGCCATGCAGTATGGCGGTCATAATTTTTTTCATTCAATATTAATACGGCACTGGTCATATTACGCACCGGATGCGGAGAATCTGCGCAGATGTAATATACACTATCGCAACTTTTGATGACGTAGTCAGTGGTCAGGAATGACAAATGCAGAAATTCTCACACTACGCCGACTAGAAGTACTTGTGACACTAAACCCCATATCTATTGTTTTAATTATTGGTATTTTGAATGCCCAAAACTCCTGCCGCAGATTCAGATATATCTTATTTTCGTCATGTATGAAACATTGTAAACACAATAATAATAATAAATCAAGTCAAAAGAAAAAAAATTGCGAAACGCGTCAGAAATAGGATAAAGATATTTTATTGACGTCAATTTTGTTTATTTGCAATTTACAATAAAATCACGCCTCCCGCACACCCATTATCTCGTCTTGTTTCCCCACAGACTGACACCAGGGGAAGAACCTGGTCTAAACATTGTGGTGTAGTCAGTGCCAAAGTGACTATAAACCAAATCGAGAGCCAAATCGATGAGCAAAACAAATAATCTATTGCAGCATATTAAGCGGATGGGGAGCATCTCTGCAGATGTAAGGTCGCAACTTGAATATATTTAAGAATAACGCTTCCGCAGGTGATCCGTTGAAAGTCAATACGCCCATTATAGGTACGTGTGGCACTAAATCCCATATCTGGTACAATATTTTAATTATTGACTTAAATGCCGACTTCTGTCACATTGCAGAAAATTGCGCACCGCAAATTGCTCGTTTTTACAAATCTGGGTGAAAAGAGCAGGAGTATGATAGCACAAATATTGTATTAGCTTTCTTTCAATTATTTACATCGTTCTAATTACGCCCGTTTATAGTTAAGCTGGTTTGAGCAAATAAAAACAGACATTGTTCAATTTACTGTCCGAATTTAACTAGTTTTCAACAGACGAGCCTTGCGCAACAATCCTGTAATGTGTAAAATGTGTTTTTGTTCGCGAGATCATTTTATTCTAGAAAGCTGATTTCTAAGTGCGATTTTTGTTTTTTCATATAAAATGCTAAAAATTGATCATTTATATTGTATGATATGACTGCTGTTAATAGAAAAATGTATTCAATTGGACACCGGATTACTTGGATCACAAACATGGACACAAACAAAATTGGATATAATGGAATTGAATTGGTAAATGTATCTGGATTCTCTAATATGCCATTTTCATTGTTTTGTATACTTACACACACTTTATGATATCACCTAAATTACCTGAAAAATTGGGCTTCATGCATCTAAATTGAAATGAATTATTTGATTACACCAAAACTATTATATTCATAAATCCGAATTGACAATGGATTTAAATTTGGCAAAAAAAAAGCGCAGAGACAGGACCAAGTTTACCAGTCAGGTAGAACAAGTCACTTTGTAGTTTGGCGCCAAATTTCGAAATTAGAGAACTAATGTCTGAGAGTGAGTGAGACACGACGGTTCCGCTACGGCAAACGGTACAGGTATAGCTTACAGTTAATTTTGGTAATATACCGGTAACGATTTCTTTAGGTGATAAATTTCACTCAATTAATATTGGTACTGCTGTACCGGTAATGAATATTTAAAAATATTTTTATATGTGGAATTATGTGCTTTGTATTTGTGTATGATTTCTTGCATGGCGAAATAACGTATTGTCTATTGCTGTGTACCGGTACCGGTACGGTACCGTATTGTCTATCTATTAGAACATAAGTATAAGTTTATTTCGACTCCATAATCAGCAAAACAATAAAATGAATGGTAAAAATAAATAAATAAAAACTGATTATGAAATCAGGAGAGCGAACAAAACCTTAGATAAGGTTTAAAATGTACAGAATGTATATAAGATGGAAGGTTTTGCCAAGAAGATGTGGTACGTGTTCACTCACTAAAATAATTGAAATATTTCACACACGCTCACACACACAACCATATAGAAGTTATTAACTAAAGGGAACATGAAAAATTACATACTGCTGTACTGGTAGTTAATAAAAAAGAAATGAATAAAAATTACTTGCCACACCATATTAATAAATGTATCATGATTGCCACTGCCAAATTGATCAATTTTATAATTGGGAGTGAACAGTAAAGATAAACTTTTATATCTCACTCTACTCGGCTGTTTTAAAAGTACGCTACCGTACAGCAGCCGAAATTTTTGATACATTTGCATATTTTTTGTTTGATGATTTTGCCCCCAAGCCTAGTTAAACTGGTTTGCGTTTTCTGATGAATTCTTTGCAGCTTTGTGAATGTGGTGGTGAGGGGGCGCATGATAATTCTCCTGCTTAAAAAATTTGTTGACTCTCCAGACTGCCAGAATTCTATATTTTCCATTTGCTGATTTGTGTTATTACAGTATTATGTAGTAGGTTATAGGTACCGTACTGCTGTACTGTAGTAGGTACCGGTATTTAAAATAAACAATCCATGATATACTGTACTCAGGTTGGTTGGCCAGCTCACTCAGTCACTGGTTCTCAACCATCACGCTCTTCTGGGCCACAGTACTGCAGTAATACTTTCAGGTGGGCCGCAAACATTTTGAAAATTGCAAGAGTTATTAATAAATCTATTTTTATTTGTGTCACTAGGTAAATTTTGATTGTAGCCTAGTTGGTAATGAATGACAATACTGTTTTTTGCTACTAAGGCATAAGGGGCCATTTTCATTCTAATTATCAAAGTGAAAGTGGCTATTTTTGCAAACATAGTTTTTTTGCTTTTCCCTTGCATTTAAGAGTTGATGGGCCACAGAGTTTTTGTGCAACGAAAATGGGCCACAAAAGAAAAAAGGTTGAGAACCACTGGGTTAGACAAAAACTATTGCACAAATTAATTTGTTTAAATAAAAGAGAAAACATGTATATGAAAATATGCCTAAATATTTATATACCCAACTACAGAACTATGCTATGTAATATGATTTTTTTCTTGGTATAACTACACAATTTATATATTCTAACATTTTATATTTCAGAATATAGGCTATTGAGATAATATTACTATCCGTTACCTTTTTGAATTTATTAGTGAAGAAGTGTAAAATGTCAGAAGAAGAAGGGGATAGATGGATGTTTAAGACAGCAGGAGATTCAGAAGAAAAGGATGCAAATAGCAAAGTCTCAGAAGGCCTATATGTCGACTCTCCTGAAAGTGACATCGTGACCAGCGTCGAGTCATTGATGAATGGGGGCAGTGGAAAGGGAAACAAGGGTTTTAACCCAGGCATAACAAATCAACAGAATACTAGGCTGAAAGAGACTGGGACTGCGAAAAATATTTCGTATTCAGAAGAAGAAACAATTTCAAACATTTCAGAACAAGATCATAAAGACATTGAAAAAAATCACAATGAATTAGGTTTTGAACAAAACAAATTTGGATTGGTGGAAAGAAATAAAATAAATTTCAATGAAGTTCTGTTTTTTTTACTTACTGACTTATCTACAACCCTAAAAAGAATTCTTTGGATTCCTCGAAAATCCGACAAGGACATCAATAATCACAAACAAATGAGAATGCAATCGGGAAAAAAAACAATTGAATCAACTATCAAAAATCACAATCTGGGAAATCATGAACCAAAGGAAAGAAATGAGGATATGAAATCATTATTATGTTTCAGTTCTAAAAATTCAGTCTCGGATCAACACCAAAATTTATTCAGGATTTCAATTTCGGATAGATTTTTTTCACTCAAATCAGTCACTTTTGTGTGTGTGGTTGGAAAAGAGATAAAAGAAGATGAAAACAAATTCCCTCATCTCCAAGGAGATGAGGTAATTGACGAAGATTCTGAAGATCTCAATGAAAAAATGGAGAAATACTCAGAACATGGATACACTTTAAAACAGCTGATTGAAGAACTCGACAAACTTATTGATAGATTATTAGTAATAGAACTTCATGAACCTACTAAATACTATGGCATAGGGGTGGATATGCGAAGCAGTACTAATACGAATAAACATTGTCTAAAACATAGGTTTTTTTTACTCCCTCTAAATGAACAATATTTCAAAGTCCTTATAAAATTAATTGGTTTACGATTTTGGACTAAAGTTATACCAAGTTGTGGAGTATTTTATATAATTGATTCAAGAACTATTGAACAAAACTGGAATATTTGGGGGGTATTTAAGCAGAAAGGACTGCTGTTAAAATGGGCAATCTTTGCGTATTATAATGATGAAAATTCAGATATGTCTGAAGAGGTAGACAGCCCTGACTTTTTTGGACTGGATTTACTAAAATTTAATGGAAAGAATTGTGGATTTAATAACTTGGAGAATAATGTAAATACAAGACGGAAAAGTGAGAACAATGAGCAATCACTTTACGAGGAAAAGTCATTTGTCTCAAATGAGACGAAAAATAATAAAAAAGTTTTAAAATCATATAGTGAAAATTTTGCTGCTAAAAAGAAACAACGAAGATGTGGCATTCCCAAAAGGTCAAAGAAGGTTGCAAGAAGACTGAGAAAAACCAGGAAATCAATAAGGCAACATAAAAGTTGTTATAGGTTGGTGAAAAAGCCGTGGAAAACACAATCAGTACGTGAAGGCAGTGTCCTCAGCACTATTGTGTATAATTATACGGACAAACCGGAAACGGACAATTTAATGTTTCCTACTAATAACCAAGGTAAATAGGTATTAATATATTGAGAAGCAAGAGAGTCTCCAGGAAATATTTTGAAGATTTAGGGTATGAGAAGTATTTTATATTTATCCCTGCGAGAGAAACTTATAAAGCAAATTTAATAATGTGTCATACCGATACCACGGCCTCTGTTTTGCTACCATTCGAGATTGGATATAGGTAACCAGTCAATAAATCTAAATTCTTAGACGTGATGGGGGGAAGCAGCCATCCCTAGTGTATATGTAAATTTTTGACAGCAATGGCCAAACGATTTTATACCATATATTAATGACTATTTCAATTTATTAATAATGCCCTGGTTCTAAAGGTAGTTTTGGTACTATTCTTGTTATTGCCCCACCATCAATTTGGTGTTTCGTCTTTAAGTTAGGTTGATGTCTCGCCTTTTTAAATTATCCTGGCTAAGATAGACAGAATAAAAAAAAGGAAATTAGGAGTTTAGCAGTATCACCATAGTTTTTATACCTCATTTTCTAAAAGCAGTGATCGTCTGAAATTTGTAGGGAACTTGATATTGCTTCGCTGCTTATGACTGGTCTGTTCAATATTTTTCTCTGATTCGGTTTATCCTATATCAGTGTTATGTAAACCTAGATTCCTAACCTAAGGTAAACAAAATGGAAGATTACAAAGATGAAAATTTCTTGTCTTTCTAATTCAAACTTTTTAAAAGTTACCATAGTTATTATCCTCCTCAGCAAAACAAGATTCAAAAGATACTAAGTTGGAAATGATTCCTTCTTTTATATTCAGATTCAAGCAGAAGAAGAAGGCAAGAACATGGACAACAGCAACAGTCATCAGTGCAACGCAGCCAACTGGAATCTGATACTCCGGGAAGGGTGTCAGATGATGTCAGAGACCCACCGGGACAACAGAGTATATACATTCCTCCTGGCAAGTTCCTTAGAATTGGAGTTATTTATTTTAGAAAAAGATGAGACAGGTTGATCATATGGTAAACCCCGTTTCCATTTTAATCTCTTAAACAAAATTAGCTTTGGATGCATGTACTCAAGGAATTTGGGAATTTGGCCTTCTTTATTATATTATTTTCAAACTTTTACTAATGGCAACGCACTACACAAGCATATATTTATAATATGGATCTACCATTTTTGCCATGCCGAATCTATTTAGTAATCGTTATTATTAGGTTTTATTACACCCTTGTTGAGCTGGGCACAGGAACCTAAGACATTGATGCTATATTGGAACTTTATTATTATGCATAACATACATTATACATATTATATGTATCAGTCTATTGAATGACATAGAAAGTAATGCATGCTAGGAATTTCATTAGTGTATTTGCACAAATGAAATGCATAATGAATGCATAGGGCAAACATGCAAACAATTTCTGCTCATCACAACATCATGTGATGCATTATCGAACAGTTTGTTTTTCAAGGCTGACCTCGTTTGCTGAGTAAGCTTTGTACTTCGTACTACCATCAGGTGATCAGGCCATCAATCGCCCCTAATTACCAACTTTTCTTGAGTCCGTAACTCAAATTACTCTAAATTGTGCATCACAATCTCTATGGTCACTTGTCATCACAACACAAAAATTGGCGCCCCAGAAGTACCGTACGAGGTGTGGCTAAAAAGAAACGAGACTGACGTCACAGATTGCGCAACACGATTAACCATTGGTAATCAACACTTTTACAGTGTGGTGTAATATGTGTTCTTTGTTCAACAGCTTTTTTGACACAATATCGCAATTATTTTTGCTCTTTAGGAGCCATAGGTGAATGTGATTAATTGCTTGTTGAAAAAAAAATTGCCGTGCGAGATCTGATTGAGTTTTTTGGCGATAGGGGGTTCAATTGCAGAATGACGATTGAGCAATGAATTAACATTAAATTTTGTGTCAAACTTGGAAAAATGCATGTCAACTGGGCAACATTTAATCGTTGAGCTTTCTGCTCCTCAGTCAACAGCCTTGGCACCATTTTGGCACTCACCTTTCACAAGCCAAAAGTGTCAACCAAACTGGTGCGAACCGTTTTTTTTTTGTCTTTTCCAACTTCGCAATGACGCGAATTGTTGAGCGACGGTCGCTGCGAATCAACTGCCTTTCACAACTGAACTCACAACTGATACCTTTTCGACGTTGGTATCAGTTGTGGAAGTGCAAGGCCTTCCTGACTTCGAATCATCCTCCACATCCTCCCTGCATCCCACAAATCGCTTGTGCCATTCAAAAACTCTTGTTCTGGACATGGAAGAATCTCCATAAACATCACACAATTTCTTCAAAGTCGCAGTCGCCGTTCTTCCAAGTTTGACACAAAATTTAATGTTAATTCATTGCTCAATCGTCATTCTGCAATTGAACCCCCTATCGCCAAAAAACTCAATCAGATCTCGCACGGCAATTTTTTTTTCAACAAGCAATTAATCACATTCACCTATGGCTCCTAAAGAGCAAAAATAATTGCGATATTGTGTCAAAAAAGCTGTTGAACAAAGAACACATATTACACCACACTGTAAAAGTGTTGATTACCAATGGTTAATCGTGTTGCGCAATCTGTGACGTCAGTCTCGTTTCTTTTTAGCCACACCTCGTATGTGTACCAATATGAAGGTAACTAATTTTGTTTGCATATTTCACATCAAGTTGTGTAAAGAGACTGAAACAAGGGGGTATATTCACTTGGCTAACACAGACAGTCCCCGAACTGGTAATATAACTAAAATAAGGAAAATTGGAATATAATTATGGCCTAACCCTAACCTGGTACACATACTACGAAAGTTCCCAAAAATATTGGGTTCAAATCCCATGATGGGTGCAACAAATTTCAATGGCAATGTCAAAACGGAAAGATTCCAGTCACGTCAATGATAGTATGTTCCTTACCTAGCAGTGGATGGTTGAACAGAGCCTTGTTTGGAGAAAAATAAATATAGCATAGGCATCAGTATTTCTTTGCAACTGTATCTTCTCTCTTGCATTATTTTTCACAAGATGTCACACCCTAATATTTATTGCCACACCTCCAGATATCGAAAGTGTTTTCCTGTAGTGTAAGAGGAACTAATAATGAATTATATTTAGAAAGTCCTTCATTTGACATACCAAAAGCAAGCCCTGTTAACCCTCAATGTTCAAACATAACTGAGCATATATTAGGGAACAGTTGGCTGTAGATTTCCACAGCCACACACACCCCTGTCACACCTCTAATTGCAGTTTGAAGTCCAGAACACAGGCTCTTTGTAATATAATCTTGTAGAAACATGAGACAAGCAATTAAATTGATCTCAATCCTTTTATAATAAACTTAATTTCTAGACTCTGTTGTCCTGACACAGATTAATCCAACATATTTTGTCGTCTACCGACAGTACCGACTACCGAGGCATGATTTTTGTGCGCAACCGGATGGATGGATCATAAATTAAGAGTCTTAACCCATGTCACCCCCCTCCACAATAGAAAATTAGAAAATAAACTAGTTTTAACAGATTTCCGTTTGAAATGTTTGTAATAAAAATTCAACAAACAAAAGTAAAGAATATATTTGTTGCCACTGTCAATTTACTTCAAATCAATATATTCATCTCAAATGTAACTTAATGCCTCGTTCCTTGCCCCCAAGAGAATTGCTCTTTGAACCCCTATGGGGCCCGGTTCGAAACCCCAAGTCAAAAGTCAACAAACAAAGGTACCGGTAATGTTATCGGAAGTGTTACCTAATGCCTCGCTCTGTGACCTCCTGGTGGCCCGAGGGCCTATTTTGAGGAACCCTGTCCTACAACCAGTAAATATAATCGGGACGGTGATTAATAATAGCTTTGTCCTATTCCAGGTGACAACAGACTTGAACAATACCGTTTATCAACATTTGAGCATTATCCAATCTCTTCTCCAACAACCAGAAAATCTATGGCAAAATCAGGATTTTACTTCACCGGATTTTTCGATCGGGTGAAATGTTTTGCTTGTGCACGAACAGTGGAAAGATGGAATAATACAGACATTCCTTCTGATGTGAGATGGCATAAGTAAGTTTGTTATTTTTAAGAATCTGGAGCACTGTTCTCACAGAAATTCTTTGATTAGTTGGCGCAGTGTTTCTTAAACTTTCACAAATTCCATGGGTCCCTTTCAAAGACTCTTAACACTTATTATCCTCTGCTCTTCCATGAAACTTCTATTTTGCTTTTAACGATCAAAGAATCGAACAACTCAATTTTACTTTAAATTAATGTTTTCATAATGTGTTGAATGATACCTAGAGAGCCCCGAGACAGCTTCATTGCAGCCCACTTGAGGCCCAGGTCCCCGTTTGAGAAACCCACTTCGTGTTGTGTATTTGAGTATGTATATACGAGTCGATACTCTAATATGCACTCAACCATATTTCAGGGAAAGTTGTCCATTCCCAAGACGAGAAGATTGTGGAAATGTTCCCATCAGAAGTTTATTCGGTGGAATCAATATTGGTGGTGCTTCAGCACAATGGAATAGCAGACAAAACGTTAGTTTTGTTCTGGGCTGGGGAACGGGTTCGAACTCACAGTGGCTCTGGCTCCAGTTCCGGAGTTAGAGTATAATCAAACGGTGGCTCCAAAGCTTCATTTTTTACGTTGGAGCTTGGGCTCGGCTCCCTCAAAGTTTTTAAGTGTGACTACTGCCATGAAATATCTACAATACGCAGTGGTCCCCAACCGGGCGCCTGTGGCCCACCAAAAGGGCCACAGAACAATTTGGGGGGGGCAACCATGCCAGGTGTAAAACTTATTTTACTTTTTTTTTACAAGAAAACCTCCTGTTCTTCCTAGTCTCATTGCTTGATAAGGTTATTCCACAGGGCCTTTGTTGAACATGGATTGTTTGAACACAATGGCATTAGAAATCTGCCAACCACTATAATATATTCATACCATTGGAATGATAAACCATCGGTGGTAAAAGCCTCCGTATAGGGAACCACGAGGCTTAATAAAAGCTTGGGAACTACTGTATTATAGTATGAAGTCCACCACACTATAGGGTGGTAACTACCTCATGCTGGTACTATAGCGTGAGATGGAGATTTAATTCAAACGAGAACTACCGTGTGCCATTTTTGTGTTTAGGAACAAGTCTTGGAGCAGCGGGATCCGACCACAGGAGCAATCACAAGAGTTGTGAGATTTCCTGCTGATTTGCCAGAAAGAATGAGACAAACAGGTAGAGTATCTTGGCTCTAGTAGCGTTTAAGATTTTCAAAATTTATCCGGGAAAGAAAAAGGATGACGTGCTGAGTTTGGTGACATGGTGCACCACGCCTTGCATTTCCCTACTAGTGCATGCATATAGGTAATCAATTATTCATTTCAGATGCATGGACTTGATGGTAGAGGAAGTTATATAGCCGACCAGAGGTTATGTGCTTTATCAGGTACTCCCGTAGTGTGTGTACCAGGTTAGGGTTAGGCCGGGGTTTCTCTCGTGAAGTTCCTAGTTTTCTCTCATGGAGCCCATGGGTTTCTCTCGTAGAACTCCAGTTTTTTAATTTTATTCCGATTTTCCTCATTTTAGTTCTATTACAATTCGGGTACTGTTTGTGTTAGCCAAGTGAATATACCATACCCCCTGCCCATAGATTTCAGTCCCTTTATACAACTTGATGTAAAGTAGGCGAACAAAGTTAGTTACCTCCATATTGGTACACACACTTATGGAACGCCCCCTTATTTATTTTTAAATTCTGGGTCGTCTGAAAAAAATGTTGGGAACCGCTGCATTAGATTATTTGGTTTTGGCCATCTCTGCATGGAACATTAACATCCTGGTATCCATGACAACAAGGTTGCTAAGCGAAATTTACATTTTGTGAAATTGAATCCACCTATCTTTTTCTTAGGCGGCAGCTTTCGGATTGGGCCGAACAACACGGTCCATATTCAAAATGGCCCTGGAACGACTCGAGGTCGGCTACCCGGTGTTCAACAAGCGCCTATGCCGCCCAATCAATGGAGAATGGCAAATGTTATTTCATCTGATCACAGAAGATTTTTAACTAATTTACATTTGAACAGAGAACTCGACAGGTGAAATTTGAGATTTTGAATTTATAAAACATATAACCACTTTTCAAACATTACTTGGCCACACCTCTCGAACTTGACGGGTGAGAAATAAAACCGTGTGAACTTTAGGGAAAATCACATTCAGCACAATGATTACTGTACTGTATATTATTACTAAGGGCATACTCACACTGCAATTCGCAGCACTTGGCACAGGCTTGAGATTTGATCGTTTTATACTTAGCTTATTCACATATTTTGCTCTGAACAAAGCAGCCATTGATACAATACAACCATTGATACAACTTTTGGAAAGATCGAAATATTTCAGGTTTAGCATTGCTTACGCAGTTTATTACGCCAAGAGTTTATTGCCATGGGAGTTGAACCCATTTGCGTAATTTGCAATATCCATCCATATCGTACTGTAATTGAGACTAACCCTAATTAAGCTACAATTCCGCCAACGCGTCAACATACATTTGACCATTGTGACGTAAGATTTGTCGCTTGACTAATTAAAATTTCACGCCACAATGAATTTTATACTAAAACATACTTTGTTTTCATAATTGATGTAAACTTCTTCTACTGCTTGATACATTAAAAAAACTGTCACAGTACAGTTTCTCTTAGTTAAATTTGGATAATATTGAAGACTAGCGAGAAAAGCCGCAAAAAAACTTTGGGAAGCTTTATGGGAATAGTTACCTTGTTATTGTTTCAGATGCTTGGACTTTTAATTCTTACTTTTCTGATAATAATACAAAATTCAATTCTAGAGTTGCTTCATTTGCCCGATGGCCTGTCGGTCGCCCTAATGTACCTCCAGCTGCTTTAGCAAGAACAGGATTCTTCTATCTTGGTGACATGGACAGAACTCAATGCTTCTCATGCGGAGGAGTTTTGAGGAATTGGACTCTTGAGGATGATGCATTGGTGAGTATTTTTTGAGTTATTGACCACCTCAAAAAGTTTGGATTGCTCGATCGACGATTGTATTTTGGTTCTAGTGACTGCTAATTGAACCTTCCGCTGGAATATATGAGAAAACTTGAGTCGTTCTGACACTTAACATAAGTTCTGTGACCTAGTTTTGTACCGCAACCGTTGGATCGTACAAAAATGTTTTCGATGAACATAACACAGAAATAAACATGCTTAAACATTAGGCTTTTATTAGCTCAAACGTCAACTAAGAGTCTTCATGCAGCACAAATTAAGAATTACTTTCAAATCAAAACACCATGCTATTAAATGACGAACAGTATATGTCAGCAGGGTCAAATGTCGTGACTGTTTAATGCGTTGATAGATTTCAGGACACAAATCACCACAACATTTTAGGTTTTAGGTTAAGGCTGTTGATGGCGCTAGATGCTTCCAGTCACTTCTTTCTTCCTGTTTTTTATTGGCCTTTGCTGCCTTGGTTTCTTTCACTTTCCAGCACTTTTTGGTCATTTCCTTGATGACTCCAACAGCAACAGTCCATGGTAGTTTACCAATGTTGATACCGCACCTCGCATGTTATTTAAATTACTGTTGCCTAGATCGTAAGGTTATTTAAAAAGTAAAGGCTAAAATATGTGAGGAGCTGTGAACCATCGAAGATAAACTGCATATTTGTATTTCAACAATTACTGCTGGAATAGAAAGGTTGGTCTCATCGCGATTATCCATCTATCATCAAATTACTGTCTTGCTATTTCCAGCTGCTTGCAGCCTACTTTATATAATTCCCTCGGGTATCTCAGCTTTTTGTGGTAGGACTTTGATAAATCCTTATTTGTACTTATTGAGCTCCTAGGTAAAGTCAGAAATGTAGGTTGTTTTTAACCAAACCGACCCTCATTTGAACCCAGTATTTCTTGAGATTCCAGACGTTGCGTGTGAAATTTTGTAGAAATTTTGATCCAAGTAATATACGTGTGCGATACGCCCACTTACTCAGGGATAACTCTTGAGATATCAGATGTTGCGTGTGAGATTTTGTAAGAATTTGGTCGTTGTAATGTCACACACATTCACTTAGAAGTAAAGGATACCTCTGAGTGAAATTATGAGCAGTAACCAAATTTCCAAGCTGATCTGGAACTATTCAGTATGCTGTATTAAATGCAAATCAATGCTTGACTTGGGCAGGGTACAAGTCCTAACAATCTGAAAACAGCTTTGCTCCGATGCAGTGGTTCTCAAACTTTTTAGGCCGTGCCCCTTTTTTAAAATTTGTCAAGTTTCACGCCCCTCCTCCAAAACAACTAGCTAACAATGAGCTACGAATAACAGATAGTAAGGCGAAAGTATGTTGTATTCAAAAAACGCGTTGAATATACGTGGATTGAATGTAAATATTCAATATAAAGAAACATCAATTTCCACTCAAATCTAAAAAATATTTTTAATCAGCTTCACGACCCCTCAAAAATTGTCTTGTGGGGCGCGCCACATCGTTCGAGGACCACTGCTCTATGCTTTTCACTTCTGAAAGTTTGCGATGGCAAATTTTGTTGAAAAATTCTTTAACTTATTCAGGATGAACATCGAAGTCACTTCCCAGCTTGTCCAATGATTCTTGGAACGGAACAGAGAAATGTCAAAGTCCCTGAGTATCCCGATACTCCAGATGAAAGAGCAACAAATTTTCCATGCAGGTAAATGTTTCGATTATGGAATAGCAGTAGATAAAGCAAGATTGATTTTATATTCAGTAATAAATATATACTTTACATATAAATTAACAAAAATAAATGTAACATAGAGCTCGAGAAATTTCCCATGCAGGTGGAATATTTGCCTTTCATTATCTTGTTCAATCGCAATCTCAGTGAATTGCACAGCTTTGCTGGTTCTTTTTATTCTTTCTAAAATTGCCATGAGCTCACTACAGGGCTAAACTTCAGTTCACTGTTTAATTTTGTCACACCTTTCAAAAGAATTTGTTAAAGTAAGGTGATGTGCATTTTTTCAGAAGTGAAAGAAGACTCTCGGAGCGAAGTTGCAGGCAGTCACTGAAATATCAAGAGCTATATAGATTGTTATATAGCTCACATCTTAGTAAGCACTGATTTGCACGAGACTCAAAGAAACTGTTGTGTGGGTTAGGTCTTGCTATCGTGCACCTGATTTTCCCAAGGGGGCTCGCATGATTGTATCCTATTGTGGGTAATAATTATGTATGATGATTGCTGGACTCCTCATTGCCGTAGAGTAGTTAATGTAACTGCTGATTATTAAACCCTTTTATTATCTTTTGCTGGAATATAAATGTAAAAATGGGTCGTACGAAGTTCTGACACTTCAATTGAAGTAGCTTGACCTAGTTTTGTGCCACAAAAGTTGGATCATACAAAAATGTTTGTGATGAATTTAACACAGGAATAAACAAGCTCGTACACTAGGCTTTTATTAGCTCAAACATCAACTGAAAGTTTTGAAGCAGCATGAATCAGAGAATGACTTTCAAATCACAACACCATGCTATTAAAGGATGAACAGTATACGTCAGCAGGGTCAAATGTCGTGACTGTTTAATGTGTTGCTAGATTTAAAGACCCAAATCACCACAATATTTTTTTCTAGATTCCCATCCAACCCCCACATGAGAAATTTAGCAGCAAGAGAAGATACTTTTGATCGTCGATGGCCGGTGGGAAGAACAGCTGCAACTCCTGCAGAAATATCACAAGCTGGATTCTTCTTTCTAGGTAATCATCATTGTACTAACCGTTTTCCTACACTAAGTAATTGCTTGCAACTTTTCTAATTAAAGGCTCGAATGTACATTTACTAAATGTTATCAAATTTTATCATTCTTTGCCACTGTTATGTATGTATGGACCTACTACTTTTGAAAGGGTCAAATTTCTCTGTGTCAGCATTGCCTACAGGCTACAGCAAGGGTGTGCAACCTACAGCTTGCAGGCCGAATGAGTTTTCAATTTGTTTATTCATGTATGTGTGAGAAATTTCAATCCTTGCAAAGCCTATACATGAGTTCAATTTATTATCTATACCTATGACGTTACAATGTCCTAACGGTTAACTTGTGCGATGCGAACAACGCATGTATTGTTCTTTCTGAATTAAATTTTATGATCGAATAATTTGTGTTTATTTTAAATTTCATAGGAGAGAGAGATCGAGTCAAATGCTGGTATTGTAACGGAGGACTTCAGGTAAATTTTGCGTTTGTTCCTTTGCGAGTTTGCTAAATCGCTTTAAATCCAATGCCATACCGGTATACAAGAAACTATTACATTCTATTCTCGGTACTCATGTAGTATGTGAATCAAGTTGGCAGAGACCTGAACACAGTATGTGTACCAGGTTAGGGTTAGTACATAATTTCAGTTACAAATACTACAGGAGTCACTTGGCTAGTCCTCGAAAAAATGAGGAAAATTGGAACAAAATTATGACCCAACCCTAACCTGGTACACATACTACGTTCCGGTGTCTTGGTTCTCGTACTAAGGGGAGCGCCCAATTTTTCAAATATCTGGTATGGACTGGCAAGTTACTAACTACTCTTGCTACAGCATCTCTGATTACCTTGCGCGGGTCCGTGGGGGTAGCCCTTTGCTGGAAAATGTGCACGGGGATTGCTGGCCTCCTTGCCATTGCAGGGTGGTTCACATAACCGCAGGTTCTTTATGGCTTCCTCGACCCATGTATCTGAAACAAATAATTAGTCAACTTTGGGGCTCCCGAAGTATGCGAACCAAGATGGCGGACATCGGAATGTAATATGTGTACTAGGTTAGGGTTAGGCCATAATTTTAGGTATAAATACTACGGGAGGCTCTTGGCTAGTCTTCGAACTGATAATAGGACTAAAATAAGGAAAATTGGAAAAAAATTATCGCCTAACCCTAACCTGTTACCCATGTTACGTTCCGATGTCCGCCATCTTGGTTCGCATACTTCGGGAGCACCTCAACTTTTTTTATACCTGATATAGACTGGGAAACGGACTTGTCATATGATGAAGTCGTCTTATCGCCTTTCCTCTCCCTTGGGATAAATATGAAAATAATATCCTAAGCCTCAAGTTTTATTTTATTGCCTTTCCTAACCGCAGAGTTAAATAAGAATATCCTAGCTTAGGTTAACGTCTGAGTTTTGCTTAGATCTCTTTATCTTTAGGTATGATTTACTCAAGCAAGGTTGCAAACCATTTTTTCCTGAATTGACAGGAACTCGTTCAACAGATCTAGCATATGGTGCATTGGATTTCTTTGCTTTAAAGATGCTGTACCACCAGCCAACTATCATCCATGGGCCACACCCGATAATGGCCCTTCTCTGAGTTTTGACATTCCCAAACTATTTGTGGTTGTGGAGCCAAATTATCAAGGAGAAAACTCACGGCGCACTCACTTGAAAAAAAAATCGCTGCTTTCAAGAAAAACTGTGATCATTATTAATGTGTACTTAATGCATTATAAAGATTGTAAACATGTAGGACTAAAGAATAAAGACAGCAAATCGACTCTTTTTCCTCATCTCTGCCTGATTTGCGTTTGAATTCCTGACTAAAAATCACTCATGTTCGCTAAACACGGTTCAGAAGATGTATAAACGGCAGTTTGTGAAATTACATCTAGTAGGCTAGTGGGTATCTATTGGGAACCGTTGACATATGACATGAAGTTTGCGATCCTGAAAGCGACTGCAAGTGATTTTATGTTTCTTCTCAGATAATAATAAAATTATTTGGTTCTTTTTCAATTATTACTATTTTATTTTTAGCACTGGGAATACGATGATATACCATGGGTCGAACATGCAAAATGGTTTCCGACCTGTCAGTTTTTATTGCAAGTAAAAGGACAACATTTTGTGTATCGGCATTTGTCTCTCAGTCCACATCTTGCTCGTCCAATCATTGCTTGTCAAGATGGGTCACCACTAGAGGGAGTTAACCAGCCAGGAAGATCACATGATATTCCACCGAATGTCAGTAGAGCGCAACAACCTAGCCCTCCTCCTGTGATTATCGATCCACAAGTATGTTGTATCCAACATATAAGAATAATTACTAATTCGTAAATGATGTTTGACAAAGAAAGGGTCAAGATGTATTTCACGAATTTATCAATTACTATCCTATTTATCAATTGCTGGACTCGCCATAGGGTGATTCACATAACCACTGGTCAATTATGGCTTTCTCCACCATGCATCTGAAACAAATAACTGGCTACCTAACCCCACATGGACTGGTAACCGGACGAGAGGCCGTTTCATTCAGAGAATATTGAAATTGAGAATTCTGACTCTGAGAATATAGGATAGAACATCTACAGAATATAACCCTATTTAGGAAAACCAGCAGTGTTGGACAATTTTTTTTATACAGATCTGTAAAAGTGCCCTTTAATTGAATTCAACCATTTACAAATGCATTTTCAAATACCCTGAACCATTGAATTCTATTTCCAGGAAGAAATGCGAAAAAAAAAAGAAAGGGTGGAAAAAGAAATAAAAGATTCTGATGTTGTGAAGAATGTTCTAGCTATGGGATTCTCGGAAAGAATTGTAAGTGTTTCTGGTGTTACTTTCATGTGTAGAGGGCTGTAATGAAAAAAAATAATGCCCTTTCCTATGTAGTATTAACTAGTGACGTGACTGCTAATGTATCGGCCATTTTCACATTTACGGTGTACTAGTATCAGTATCGTCTAAAAATAGATTGATATTTACTATATATTCCGACCTTTCATCTCATCTAAAATTGTTTTAAAGTGAAATTTAGTACACATCGTGAGATCATGTACACCAGGGCTGGGCTATTACTCTTCTGCGTGAGCCAGTTACAGATAACAGACTTGGTTACTGGACCGGAGGCAACAAACATATGACATTATCATAGTTGCCACATATCAACAATACTTTATTATTATGTTGTTCAAAAACAACTTTGGTATTAGAATTTTATATTGGTAGAATGCTATGAATATAGAGAACTTGTCAAGTGACAAATTTGTGGGGCTCCGTAAATGTCATGCAACCTTTTTACAGACTCCGTAACACTAAAATTTTGAGAACCCCTGATGTACACAGCGATGACGACATGATTAAACTTTAAAAAGTTCTGTCTCTTGACCTTGAGGACTCAAAATGATGACCTTTACCCTTGTGGGCATTTTGAAATGTATCCCGAAACTATTTTCTCTACAGTGATGCAATGTAAAGTTATATATAAGTTTTATTTTATACGCAATTGGTTTAAAAATTAGTTTATTCACCATTTGATTTTGGTCGTGTTTGTAGATATTTATGGACGTATCACTTTCATGTTTCATTTTCATTTCTATTTTGCCAAGATTTCCGAATTTATTCAGTATACTGAATTTTTGCTACATACCTTCCACTGGTTATTAGCAGATTTGCAAAGTTGAAGGAAGTGTTTTCTCTGGGGTTGTTTTTCAAACTAGGTTGAAGTCTGGTTTCCAGACACTGAATGATGTTAACGGAAATAGAGAAATGTTTATAGAATCTCAATAAGAACCACTTTGAATAAGTTTTCTTAACAGTCTATTAAAGAAGGCTTGCAAGCGTCAAAATTTTTGTGATCAAAATTTCATTCTTGGAGTTCGGAGCTGCAGTTAGATCTTCATGCGAAGTTGGAGTCGGTCGTATGTTTTCTCTGACTCCACAGACAGCATTTCCAGTCTATCTCTTTCATGGGGAGTATATTCACGGGTATGACTATGGACATGATGGATTGTGATTTGATGCTGAAAGGGTTTGAGCAGCAGGGTATTCATCAAGACTATTTCATCTGATAGGAGCCCTAATAATCCCATCTTACTTTTATTGCATTGTCATGTCTCATTCGGAAAAATTGATAAGAGCTGCTGAAAGAGAAAACGTAATTTTAATGGCATTAGTGCCCCATCCCATTCATGTGTGCCAACTTTCGGACGTTCATAAAAGCCTAAAAATGAATTTATCAATTGGTACCGGTACATGAATTAAAAAAGATATTACCGATCAGTAAATACCGGTACTTGGATGGCCGTACTACTTATTGCCTTGAAAAAAATCACATTTTCAGAGTGTGATCACTGGTACAACTTTGAACATTAGACTAGCGGAGAACAACACATAAACGTTTTCTATTTTCATTTACTGGTATATGTGAAAGGAACATTTGTATCAGGCAACTTTGATTGCTTCGTACAATAGTTCTCAAACTTAAGTAATCTGTGGCCCACTTCCAGGGACTCTCAACACTCTGCTCTTCAGTAAAAAAAACAAACTTGGTATTGTTTAAATGGGGTTTCCATGTAATCAATATAATGGTACCCAGTGAAGGTCTTGGCTTGTGGCCCCAGAAGACCCCATGGGGGCTAAACCCTGAACTAGTAAAAGCATTTTGATCTGTTATATATTAAAAAAATTTTATTTATATTTTTGTAAAAATTTTCAGGTACGAATCCTTCTTGAAGAAAAAATTGAAGCTAATACAGAAGCCAGTTCTCAAGAAATCTATGATTCAGTCGCTATATTACTGGATGACGTCGTGAAGAAGGAAGAGGAAATTGAGAGGGAAGATCAGGAAAGAAGAATGAATGAACAAGCAAGATCTACTGAAATTGCTGCACAAGGAGCGGCTTCGATGCTTTTTCCTTCAGCTTCTTCTGGTGAGCGAGAAAATGTTCACAGCACCCCACAAATTAATTTTTTGTTTGCCACCTTTGCTCCAGATCGCAAAATATATTTGTATGTTGTTTTTGTATATTTTCCACTTGAACCTGAAGGGCACCCTGAACAAACCTCTGTACAGGCGTCTGCACCTAGGCACTGAGCTACCATATTTGGAAAGGATTGGAATCTTTTTGGTCCAGTATTGCTTGCACTACTTACCATACCCTGAGGTGGTGGGTATCGGATCCACTTTGAACAAGGTTCAGTAGGGACTGCATCCTTGGGTGAAAAGCTATTAAAGTTTGGCAGGACTGGATCCCTTCAACTTAAGCATAGGGAGTTTTTAGCTTGTGATGTATTTCGCATAAGATTAAGCCGACTCAAGCATGAGCTATAATTAAAAGGTAGCGACTTCGGTGCCTTTTTCTTCAGCATCATCTGATGAGCGAGTGAAAATATTTTTTCAGTGGCTCACAAATCACCTTTTTTGCATGTGATCACAAATTTTTTTTACCTTGCATTATCTATCTTCTCTCCAATATCAGTTTTCAATAAAAAAAATGCCATTGCTTTAAATCTTAATTAAATATTACGGCTTCTTTCTATAGTAAAAATGTGTGCCTAATTTTTTTTTCAATTTTTTATGCTATCGTTTCTTGTGTTACTAATCGAAAAAATAAACTTGGCCATAATTTTAAGACCCAACTGGTTGGGTATTAATTGTCAGTTTTGTCTTTTAATAATAAATAAATTATAATTTTTATCTTATTGTATTGACTCCTACAGCTTTTATTATTTTTAATACGTATTCTTAATTTATTGTCAGTCGGGATTGTTATAAATTTTTGTCCACTTTTCCCCATATGCTCGTATTTATTTCAAATTCTATCGATACCTGCTATCTGGTAGACTCGTCTGTTGGTCTTTAGCAGTGGTTTGCAGCCTTAATTCTATTCTATTCTTATGCTTATTTTGGGTTTCCTCCTGCAATAGGCATAAAATAAATAATACTAGTAAGTAGTAACTGAACAATATTAGTAAAATTTTACCAAATGCAGAGTAATATCTTGTATTTCCTCACAGTTGGCAAACACTGTTTTTAGTCCATGCTTCCGAAAACAAATAACTGGCTAAATAATCTCATACCCGACATGAACTGGTAACTGGACGAGAGACCGTGGTTTGTCATATAATTAAGCCATCCCAACGACTTTCCTCTCCCCTATGATAAATATGTAAATCCTATCCTACCTTTTATCGTACATGAATTTTTCTTTTTCATTGTATGTTTAATGATTCAAGTCTGAATGGAAGTGTTTCATGATTTAGGGAGTGTACAAGCCCATACTATTCTGGCACTCAGTTTTCATTGCAGTGTAAATGAGGCAAGGTGTTCCATCAGGACACAAAACATGTACATAGGCAGTACTCAGTTTTTAGTGAAGTCCATATGAGGCGAGGCATAGTATGTTTGTAGAGGACATTTTTTCCAGAGTAGATGAGATATTTATTTGTCACAACAGAAAATTAGTCTTTTATGTGTTTTCAGTTCACGTAAAGCATGTAGTTTTCGAACGGAAAATTAGTCATGTGTTTTCAGATCACATAAAGCGTGTAGTTTTTGGAGCAGAAAGATAGTTTTTTATGTGTTTTCTGTTTTTTTGGGGGTCACATAAAGCATGTAGTTTTCGAGCAGAAAAATAGTTTTTTTTTTATGTGTTTTCAGTTTTTTTTTTGAAATGTGGTCCCATAAAGCACATAGTTTTTTGATGGTTAGAAATGGCGAACATAGATATATAGTTAATCTCAGAATAGTTGTTACATGTCAGGATCAGAGTGCTCAGTTTTTGGTGAAATCGTGTTTCGTGTTCTGTCAAGACTTCATTTTAATGGGATAGAGGATTTATTTTTGAGTTAACAAATTTGCTTATTATTTTACCCCATTAAGCATTATCTGAGGTGATTTAAAACAACAGATGCCTGTACAGAAAGTATTAAAGATGGAAGTTAGTTTTAGTGTAAGCAGGTTTGCATGAGGCACGAGATTCTGTACGAGGTGTGCCCTCAAAGGAGAAGCGATTGTATTAAAAAATATTCACGCTGGAGTGAGATATTTATAATAGTATGTAGCAGATTATCTTGCCTCAGAGAAGCTTGGGTTGCCTGAACATTACCTTCAGAAAGTTTGGTTTATCTAAAAAAATTTAGAGCAGTAAATGGAGCGTCAGATACAATGTTAAGATCACTTTAGACTTGAACTCAAATTCAGGAATCAAGGGGAAAATGATAAAATTGAAGGAGCAGATGTTATAGAGCTGATACATTCATGCAAATATATACGTTATTTATTTTCATGCAAGAATCAATATCTAGAAAAAATTTACCGTAAGTAAAACTGAAAAAAAGAGAAAACTTTGACTCATAGCCGTTGACGTGGGGTCACGAAAGACTCGAAGCATCATCCGGTCAGTCATACCTTGATGTTGCATTACAGCAGCAATGAAGCCATTTGGTGAAAAATATTCCTAAAAATACACAATCAGAAAAAAATAATGATCGATTTTAAATTAAGTGTCACATTAGAATAGTGCATGGGACCAATTTGTGTCTTTGTGATTATAAAAAGGAATTCAACACTACTCTGTGATCATTAAGGTATGCTTCATGGCTTCCTGGTTTTTTGCAATTAAACACCTAAACACTGGGCTATCATAAAATAAATATTTTCATACCTGGCATGTACTGGTAGAGGGAGGAGGGGGATTCGCATATTCATCTCTGGAGAGAGGAAAATTGATAAAAGGGCCTAATCGTATGGCAAACCACGGCCTCTCGTCTGGTTACCATTCCATGTCTGGTGTGGGATAAGTTATTATTTGTTACCAATAACTTGAGCGACAATGATTTGCAATATGAACAAGCCGTCATATCAGCCTTCCCCTTTTTGTGTCTCCTTTTTATAGTAAGTTATATTGTTTGTCAATAATTTTATATATATCACGGAAGTTTTCCTCTGAGACTTGTTCCCACAACTTGTGTGCAGGGTAATCAGGGATGTTATATCAAAATGAGAAACCATTCGAATTTTCAGTAGTTGGTAGCAAATGGAAGGGTGCTCCCGAAGTATTCATATCAAGATGGCGCACAATCTGAACATAGTATGTGTACCAGGTTAAGGTTGTTCAGGTTTGTGCGTCATCTGGTACGAATATTTTCGGAGCGCCGATGAAAGTGTTATTCTGGCTCTCTGCGACCTGTTGGTATGCTGCGCTGCAGAGATTTTTTTGCTGATTGACTTTGCAAACTCGTGGTTCAGGATATCCTTGATGTTAACACACTCGGTGAAGATTAGATTACCTTTAACTGTACTCGGTGTCTGTCTTTCTTCATTGCTAACCTATAGCAATTTGTAGTGAAGCCATTTTGAATTTATCTCAAACTTTATATATATCACAGTATACAGCACTGCAACTACACCAATGTCATCACTTGGACCTTCTCCAGGATCAGGAAAATATCAAGTTTCTTTATTTGATGAAAACGAAGATGAAGAAGCCATGGATCAGGATATGTATGGAAGTGTTGCTGGATCATCCAGTCAAGGTAGGCAGCATTAGCAGCTTTTGTTTCAAATGGGAATATTCTGCCTAGTCCTGGTTCACTGAAGATATAAGTAAATCATCTAGTCAAAGTAGGTTGAAACCTTTAGTTTGGGATGGAATCGGCACACCAGAAGTGTATATGGAGGTACCGGTAACTAATTTTGTTTGCCTGCTTCACATCAAGTTATAAAGGGACTGGAACCTATGGGCAGGAGAACGAATATTTACTTGGTTAACACAGACAGTACCTGAACGTGTAATAGAACTAAAACCGAAATAAAATTATGGCCTAACATTAACCTGGGACACACACAACAGGAGTACTGAATATTCTGCCCAGTCATGGTTCATTGGTTTCTTTTTCGTTCTATCAAAGTGACTCTAGGCGTCCAAATGGAATGATTCGAACTCATCATAAAGTAACTGTAAGTGAGACTAAGTGGGACTCTATGTTCCACTGGAGGCCCAAGATTTAGGGGCTTCCACCACCCTACCCAACACTAATCTCTTTTTCTTATAGCTATATTTATTGATGATTTTTTTTTACAGAAACAACAAAAAAACAGGTAGCAGGCAATGAGGAAATGACGCCATCACTTCGGGTAAGAAGATTCTTTCTGTGTTAACACTTTGCATTAGTCTAGGGCTGTGTGAAAAAATAAGGAGGCGAATCGGAAGGATTCTAATCATTCCCAAATTAGTACCTTCCTTATATACCGCTGGCTTGTTTGAAGTGACAAGTATGCCAAAACATGCAAAAACAGTGAAAAACCGTCAAAAAGCACTAGAAACCTTGCCAAAACAGACATTGCAAAAACAGTGAAAACCCTCAAAAAGCACTAGTAACCTTGCCGAAACATGCAAAAACCCGCAAAAACAGTGAAAAACCGTCAAAAAACATTGAAAACCTTGCCGAAACGTGCAAAGAAGAAAAACGTTAAATGAAAAAGTTTCATATGGCTCCAGCTTAGACTTTGGGTTGGCATTAATTTTGTGAAATCACAAAGCACGAAGGCATAGCGAGCTATTGGTGAAATATGTTTCTTATTGTAAGTGATATTTTTAGTAATTTGCGTGTCTGGAAGACTCATTATAATAAAAAAGCAATATCCAATTACATTGTTACTTGTTAATTTAAATAGCTTCTAATTCAGCAATTCCAAACTAAGAGCCCTTGACTCTCCAAGGTGGGCATAGAGCATTTGGATGGGGGCCACAATGCTAGGCACAAATCTGATTTTACCTTTCCTTCCCTTGACAATAAAACTTTCCGTTCTTTCCAGTATCATTGTTGAATAATGTTATTTCACGAGACGTTTTTTTCTTTATTGAAAATGATTTGTTTGAACATAATCTGATTTGGAATATACCACTGGAATCAAAATACCACTGGAATGAAGAGCAGGGGGGCCATGAGTGCTTAAAGGCTCCGGAGAGGGGCCACGAGCCATAAAAGGACCACTGTACAAAATATTCAAGATTCCATTCAAAAATATTGTTCGATTCAATAGAGATAAATTTGAAAATGTCCAGCTCTAGTCTCACATATTGCTAACTGATTACCTTTACGATTTCAATTTGGTTATAAAGTCAGTTCTCGATATATCTTAACCAGGTTTGTTGTGTTTTCGTCAGTAATTGTTTAAGTAATTTCACTTCATTTAATAATCTGTGAAGGCCAAAACAATATATGGTATTGATAAATCTTCTTTGCAATTTTGAATAATTTCAAATGGACTTTATGGACACCCTATATTGCTACTTTACTTTGTTTTTTTTTATTTTTCTACTAGGAACAACTGCACAAGATAGAAGAAGAGAGGATGTGCAAAGTTTGTTTCACCAATCCTGCTGAAATGGTGTTCGTGCCATGCGGACACATATGCTGCTGCATGCAATGCACGGAGGCAATATCTCATTGCCCTGTCTGTAGGGTAAAAATACAGAGGGCAATTAAAACATATTTGTCTTAAATGGCGCTTCCGTAGTATGTGAACCAAGATGGGGGACACTGAAATGTAGTATGTGTACCAGGTTGGGGTTAGGCCATAATTTTATTCCAATTTTACTTACCTCAGTTCTATTACGAGTTCGGGGACTAGCCAAGTGACTCATGTAGTATTTGTAGCTGAAATTATGGCCTAACCCTAACCTGGTACACATACTTCATTCCAGTGTCCGCCATCTTGGTTCACATACTACATGAGTACCCTTAAATGTAATTGGCCGTGCGTTCGGAACACGCTTGATATCGCACCATTGGTTACCTTGGAGTCCCAGAATCGAATCTCATGGAGGTCCTTTGGTTACCTGAGTGAGAGACCAAATCCGGTGGAGAATGATATTTTTCTCTCATGTTGGAGAACCTAACATGGTTGCTCATTGCGTGAGTCATAGTAGACATTGATGTGGGGTGGTTCATGCCATATCGTTGGTTTAAGATAAGGGCAAAATTCCCAAATCCCGACCCTAAATTAGGCATGCAATGTTGAAGCGAAAAATTGCTGTATTTGTAAAGACAATAATTTCAAATTGATTTTCAGCTTTTATAAAAACTACTTATCTGTCATGGCATTCTTCATGAACCTGTTAGATTAGGCCGAAACTGTAACCATATACTTGACATAATATCATGAGATCCCCTGCGAAGGGAAAAGTTACTGGACTCCTCATTCACAGAGATGCTCGTCGATGTGAGTTTTATGAAACGACTGTATGAACTAGGGTATCCCATGTCTAGCAAGTACAAAGGATGTAGAATTAAATTGAGCAGACATTGGCCATCCGAAGACGGCCCCCTTTTTTTTGAACGATAGTAGTTGTAAACCACTATAAGCGGCTTCTTGTACAAGGCAATGTTTGTAGCGAGAGCCATGGGAAAGCATTGGGTATAAAAATTTCATGTCCTTTAAAATACTTGAAGTATTACTATCAGTGGCTTATTGTCTCGGACATCAACTTAGGTCTGGCATGGGCAAAATCTGGCCCGATGGGTAATTCAATCTGCCCCCCTGATGCTGCCACAATCGAGCTAAAACCAAGTTTTGATGTTTTAGCCAAAAATAGCTCAAGGAATTTGTTGAGATTGCGATTAAATTTAGTTTTGGCGCGATGGTTATTGTTTACTGTAAATATTGTTCATAATAATTAACTTTTAATGTCACACCTGAATGGCCCGCCAGTCTAGGTGGGCAAAAATTTTGACTCCTGGTCCAAAAACGTTGCCCGCTCCTGACCTAAGTGAAAGTGTTTAAATCCTTCATATGATGAAACTGCTAAATCGTGGGTTTCGTCACAAACTATATATTACTGTATGTTATGAGATGTTGAACGTGTGATGTTCGTTGCAAAAATATTTTCTGGATCAGTATGCGTACCAAGATGGCGGACACCAGAACTTTCTCAACTTCACCTAGACTAAAATAGGGGATAGTTTTCTAACCCTTGAATTTTGAATAATTTTGCTGTGAATAAAATTTTTTCTTTACTTTTCATTATTTTTTCTTTCTTGTATACGTTTATTTTATTTCATAGTTTGTTTTCCTTCTTAATTTTTGTTTATGTTCGCTGCTTGTAAATTCTTAATTTTCAAATTTGTAAATATTACTTTGAATACTGCATAAGTAATTCAATGGACCAGAGATTTTCTTCCTCATATGATTAACGTCCTAATTTTTTTCTTCTCCAAATTCTCAATCCAATACGCCATTCTCAGATGACAAAAATAAGCATTTTGATGAATAAAGGACGCTCCCGAAGTATGTGCACCAAGATGGCGCACAACATGAACATAGTATGTATGCCAGGTTAGGGTTATTAGGTTGTGCGCCATCTTGGTGCACATAGCTCGGAAGCGCCGAAAAAAGATATGATTCACCAATTATTTTTACTATCTATGGAAATGCATACAATTTTACATGCTTCTAAAACAATAACTGATAATTTATCTATTCTCAGATATGAGATTAGTTAGCTAGTTTGTTTCAAATACATGGACTTGGATATATTACTGCATTGGCTGTCAATCAGTATTCCTCTCCTGGATATACAATCAATCCTTAGTTAGCTGTTTAAACATCCTCATAACCAAAAAAAATTGGTTGAAAGTTCAAGATAAGACTGCTGTATCGAATTTCCCCTCAAAATGACAATCCTGAAAAATTCTTTCAGCATGTCTGTTCCTCCCATATCAAGCCAACTTTGCTAGGATAATTATCGCAGTGCAAATTGTTCCAAGTCTGGAAATTTTTTTACGAAATATTATCTAGCAACAGGTGCTTTTACTAAGCTTCTCCAGTACACTTTGGCCATTCATTTATCAAGTTACCAGAAAAATGTTACTGAATTTACTGAAAATTAAGTTGCGTTCTACACTAATTTCAATATTTAATATTTGTGCTTTGAACTGCCCAAGAGGATTTTTCTCCACCTAGTAGTTATGAAAATTATTGATAGCCAAAGTTGGAATTTCCCCTGAATATCCACTGAAAAACAGTCCAGGTAAATAACTTATATTGCTGTAAATTAAATGATTTATTTTTTTATCATTTTTTTTTCAATTTGCTTACTTTTCATAGTTTTTCCTTTTTGAATTTCATTCTTTTTGGAAAATGGTCGTACTAATTTTTTACCCCAGAATCTCGATGTTTATCACACTTCTCTGCTGCTCTCACCACTATCTATGAAAAAGGCATATAGGTCTGAGAACTTAAAATCCCGCTTTTGGGATAAATATTGCAAGCTTGTTGTAACGGCTGTGTCGTATTAGAAGGTAATGTCTGTTATACAGTCGTAGTAGCACCGTTGCAGGTGCAATGTCTTCTTGTGTGTAGGTTATATTATTGTGTCGAATTAGCTTTAGCTGTACAATGCTGCTTGGTGATTTCATTACTTTCTAATTAATCTATTTTATTATTTTTGATTGGTAACGATGGTAGTAACGATTTGTCTTCTGACAATAAAAGTATAATGGTAAATTTTTGCGTCGTCGAAGGTAAAAGATCACATTCAAATTATATGCTAGCGGTTCGCGACCGGGGGTCTGTGGATCCCCAAAGGAGCCACAGTGGGGGGCCACAATGCTAGACGCTGAAAATTGATTTTACATTTCCCTTAACAAGAAAACTCGTTTTTTCCAGTTTCATTGCTTGACAAAGTTATCTCAGAGGGTGTTTTACTCTATTGAGCATAGATTGTTTGAACCTCATGGCATTCGGAGGACCTTCAGAAGTATGTGCACCAATATGGCGCACAAACTGAACATAGTATGTGTACCAGGTTAGGGTTCATACTTCAGGAGTACGCCCATTCGGAATCTAACTGCTGTTAGATGCCCGCCACTCAACCCATAGCATATTAAATTGGGCAGACAAATATCCTTCTAAAAATAGAAGCTTCGTACGCATCAGTACAGTAAGCCTTAGTACAGGGCCTTGTTCAGATTAGAGGTTCGAAAACGGTCCGTAATATAATAGTCTGTTCTGTAAGTCTTAGCATGTGTTACGGATTGACTGCTTAGTTATTGCGATATCCCCCCTTGGGTCAAAGGTTATTGCCCCTGTGTTTATATTGTTCAATACTTCTTCTAACTTAGTCTAAGTTGCACAGAATCAAGTCAGACTGATGGTAAAATTGGTCGCGTTGAAATAACAGAATGGTGCCCCGGCCCGAACTGCTGAAAATATAGGAAGTCTTGGGTCTTCATTTTCTTAGTATAATCGTAATACGCAGATTAGTTGTAGGGGCGATAGTAGAATAATACTGTAGACCGGAGAGGCAGTGGTTCTTCGTATAACTGGCGTTTTGTAAATATTATCTCCTCGATATGAATACCCGTCATCTCCTTTTTCAAATATCGGGATGATTTCTACTGCCCCAAGCTTGCGAGTGAAGTATTGTAATTTGTGACTACTTAAGAAGCCGTTTTGTAACTAATTTATTAATTTACAGGTTAGTAGTCGTCGTCTTAACGACAACCTTTAGTATTGTGGTAGCCTACTATGAAAATCCCAACTTGTAAGATATGAATATAATGTTTAGCCCAGTGGAGAGGAAAACCGTGGTCTCTCATCCGGGTGCCAATCGATTCATGGGGCATCAACCAATGGTTAAAAATATAGATTTACAAAGGCTTTCATACCTTTTGTTAGATACTTAAGACGATAAATAAATCTTCAGTGCCATTTCCTATACGTGTTACGATTTATATTAACTTGAATTAGAATCAGGATAATTGTATCTTACTTTTTTTTTCTAGTCGTATTGACTCGAACTGCTCAAAATCTATTGCCAATCGGCATTTGCTAGGGTGTAATACGACGTCATAAATCAATATAGATACAGGAGCTCTTGTCGTTTCAGTGATAGCCGTAACTTTGCTCAGAAATGAGGGCGCTCCAGAAGTATGTGTACCAATATGGAGGTAACTAATTTTGTTCGCCTACTAAACATCAAGTTGTGTAAAGGGACGGACCACGGGAGCCTGTGAGCAGGGGTATATTCACTTGGCTAACACAGACGGTCCCGAACTCGTGATAGAACTGAAATAAGGAAAATTGGAATAAAATTGTGGTCTAACCTGGCACACATACTACGGGAATACCGAAATGAGTTCGCTTTACCTCTGGGTGGCTGCGCTTGGCCGAATTCTCTTGAGAAAATGCTGGCCGTAGGTTGTGCACTGCACGGCCATAAGTTTTGCCCTGTTTCAACCGCATTATTTATCACTAACAATAACCTAGCTATATATATCTCGTATTTTTCAAACCCATACATTTTGAACCCAAATAAATAGTTAACTATTCCAATACTCGACAGGTGTCCGGGCGAGAGGTCGTGGTTCGTCGTGTGGTTGAGCCATCTTATCGACTCTCCTGTGCAATATTTGTAACTACAGTATTGCCAAAAAGGCGGAGCCTATAAAATTGCTAATCAAGTATTAATAACGCTTACAAACCTCTAGAGTATTTTTTCTCTTATTCGTTTTGGAACGAGGACTCACGTCAGTGGTAAACTCACCCCGCGTGGATAAAATTTTACTTTTGGAATTCACCA